TCAGTCGTCGTCGTCGTCGTAGTCGTCGGGGCAAAACTAGAATGCCCGAAAAACAGCAAATAGTAACAATACATATAGAAAAAGCCGGTGGGGTCAAGTGTGGGGCTAAGTGGGCGCCCAAGTTGAGCTGTACAGTTGAGAAATCTTTTCGAACGTAAATCAATCCGTGCAGCTACATCATCGTCCGACTGACGACGCTTTTCCGGCTCCGTTCAGGTCCGCTCTTAACCCCCTCATCCCTCATCACCCAAAAGAGAGAGTTAACCCCTTAACATCGCCACCGAGAAACGGAGTGCACCAATTGCTTTTCTTGATTGTTTTGTGGGCTGTATTCTGTATACTGTATACTGTATAGCTACTGGTTTGCTGGACCAGTGCCACATATCGAAATGCAAATTCAACTTGCAGTTAGAATATCCTACAGTGGTTTGGGTCCTTTTTGGGGGGGCGGAATAGTGAGTGCAGTGGGTGGGTGTTGGGTCTAAGGGTCAACAAAACAAAACTCCGCAAAACGATAACGACACTCATCATCAACCAAAGTCGGATTTTGGATGCCGCCACCCTAACTTGCCCTCATCTTTTCACATGCATTTCAGAAACGCAACAGTAAACGCAATTTTTGGCCATGGCCACAATTCGTTTACTTTCAACTGGCTGCAATGGATGCCTAGTCGTAGTCCTTCGCTTTTGGTTTTGCAAACACCACCACTTCCACTTCCCAAATACAACAGCAACTGCTACTGCTACTGCTACTGCTATTGGTACTGCCAGTGCTCCTTTTTCTCCTGCTTTTCCTCCAGCTCCGCCCCCCGCCTTTCCTAGGGACAATCATCCTCCTCAGACGCTGCTGCTGCTGGGCTGCATTTTCCGTTTTCGTTTACGCATCGTTTGAAATTTCTATGAATTGTAGATGCAATCGTCCAGGCCATGGGTCCTGGCTAAGACTCATGTGTTACATGTGTGCCTGCGCCCTCCCGCACGTTTCCCCGTGGAAAGCCCCTCGGAAAAGCCCCTCTCTGCTGCTGCTGGTGCTCCTGCTGCTGCTGACCCCACCCCCTTGGGTTATGGTTCACGAACCCAACCGACCCCAAAAGTCAGTGGAGTGCATTTCACTTGCAGTGCATTTGGTAAGCTCACGACGAAGGCAAAGTTGACGATTCTCCTCCAGCTCTGTTTTTGTGGCCAGGCTTGGGTCCACCAGGCAATGCAAATTGAAAACAGCACCTCCCCACCCCCAAAACACCCCTACCACCTCCCTCCCCCCTTTCATCCACATCAGGCTTCCTTTTTCGGCCGGATACGTGGAAATAGGCCCCGCACCAAACCCTCTGAAGAAGATGAAAGTCGGAGAAAGAAATGTACAGTTGGCCCCGTTGGCTGGCAAAAGGATTAGAGTGCGAGGAAATGGTAACTGGTACCGGTAGCGGGGCCAATCTTTCATGACGAAACAAATATCCTCATAATTCAACAGGAAAATTGCCCCGCAGTTGGCAGACCCTGAAGGATGCACTCGGAAATAAGTGTGCAGCTTAAGCTTATGTGGTGTATAATAGAAGTTAAAGCGAGTTTGAGAAAACAGTTTGGTGCGTGTAAACTGATTTAGAATTCAAATTCTGCTAAAATGATTCAAGCATTAATATTTCAAAAATGTTTGTTCATATTTACTAGTTTTTCTTTAAGTGTTTCTACCGGGGTCCTAGGAGTTTTTAGGGGCCTGAAACTGAGCCGGGCCTACGAGGTTTTTCTGCGGCATCGTTTGTTACGCCTCGTGTTTGTGGGCCAAGGGGGTTTTCGGCGGTTAGAGATTGGGGATTGCGGCGTTATAAAGGAGGTGGACCAGGAGACCCTTTGTTGGTTTCTGGTGATTTGCTTTGTCAGTGACAAAAATAATAACAGCCAGCCGCAGGCGAAGCCAAAGCTCCTTGCCCAGGCCACGTCACCGGTTCTGGTCCTGTTTTCTGCTCCTGATTTGGATTCGGATGAGGACGAGGATTCGGATTCTGTTTCCATTTCCATTTCTATTTCGGCTTCTGCTTCTGTTCTGGCTATGGCAACCCATATGTCAAGTGCTCCAGCCAGCATGTGTGTGACCATTTTTAATTACCACAATTTGAATTTCTTGAATAACTATTTGGATAAGAATCAAAGGCAGGGCAGTCAGCCAGGACAGAGGCCTAATGGCTGGGGTACATCAGGCCACGGCTCCTGTTGCGTTCCCACCACCTCCTTGGCTAAAACAAACGCTTTGAAATTTGCCTTCTGTCTGGCCCAAGTCGCGTCTCATAAATAATCAAGCAATTATTTTGCTGTCAATTTCAACACGGCCGCCGAAAACGCAATGCCAACGCCTAAATGGCCGAATGACGAAGGACGAAGAACTCTCTGTTCGCAGGAGCGAAAAAAAAGGAGTGAGCAGGAAACATGCAACCCGCTGAGTCCTTCGGACACGCTACACGGCTTCAAGGAGCAATAAATTCTTTCTGGTTGTGCCGGCCAAGAAATCTAAGCACTGCCAGAAAATGGCTAAAAAAAAGTGGTTATAATGGTTATCATAATAAAATAAGTGGAAAGGTTCCCATTTCAATTGATACGAAATAAAATAACTAGCAAGCACGCTAGATAATATACAGTTCTTGTAGGAATATATCTTTGGTAAAAGTGAATTCTCCTTTCTGTGAGAGGAATATTAGAAAACCTTGCAACACTCTTAAATATTTTTTCCGGTGCACTGAGTGCACAAAGGCGACGCCAACTGAGAAGCCTTCGAGTCTGGCGTGCCGTGGCTATAGTCTGTTGATTTTGTCGAGCGGCCCAAGGATCGGGAATCCTGGAACTTAAAGCCTTTTGTGCAGCCGACCCCCGTCCGACTGCGATTCGATTTCACCGCCGTATATCATTGCCATTTCAGTTCCAGTTCCAATCCCTTGCCTCGGCATAATGTATACGAATATATATATCTCTATTTTTGCCCGTTTCTTTGCTTTTCCACGCACCGGTCGGAAGTCCTTTAGCAGATTATCTGGGCAGGCGAGTCCTGCGAATATCCCGTGAATATCCCGTGATTTGTAATTGAAGGGCGTGTTCGCTGTTCCCCAAAAAGGAAAAGCACTCGACTGGAGTGTGGAGTGTGGAGTGCGGAGTGCGGAGAGTGGAAATGGGAATGAAAATGGAACTGGATCCGTGCGCTTGTCTAGATGATTGCATTCCTCGAACGGAAGACGGAAGGGGCCATTAAGTGATGCCAATGATTAACAACGGAAGTATAGATTTGGCCAGACTCGAAACTGGTTTGCGGAAAGCAGTCTGGCGATGAAGGCCCGACGAATCGATGGCAGAGCTCTTAATGGCATTCGGCCATAAATCAAACAGCTGCCTAACTGACCACCCTTAAAGCTACTTTGCCTTAAATCTGGATAGAAAATAAATGCAAAAGAAATGTGTCTAGAGGAGGCTGGCGTACTTTGTTTTTTAAATAATATTTTTAATTGGCCGAAAGATCATATATTATTATTATTAGACAACAGATTAGACTGAAATACAGCAATAAACGTAAACTACTTCCAATTGAATAGTGGCGGCAAATTTACGTTCGTCGTAGAAGGAGTGCGAATTTCTGAGGCCGATAAAACCGATGGGAGAGGACACCCGTCACTTCCGCTCGACAATGGTCCGCCATTAGCAGCATTATTCTTCCAGTTCCCCTGTCCCATTTGAACCCCCTCGAAGCCCCCAAACTCCGCTATAAAGCCCTGAACAAACCCCTCTATAAACCAATCCCCAAAAAACCCTTCTCTGCAACATTTTTGCAATGTCCCTTTCCATCTCCCCACCCGTTTTCCATGTTTGATTGTAATTTTGTAATTTTCCCAGTTTATTATCTGTCAACATTATCGCACACACACTCGACCGAAACGGGCATTAAATTCTTGGCCGTCGCCATCGCTCTTATCTTGTGTCGCATAAAACGCCGAAAAGCATTTCCACTTTTCCAGCACGCACAACAAATAAACTCATCGAATTTCTCTTGTTAATTGAAATAAAACTATTTCAACTCCATCTCTGGACCCCTTAAAATCCGCTTGGGTTTCCAGGCAGAAACTTGGTTTCCATTTATTTGGGGTGAACAAGATTGAGGGCGCCCAAAGAATACTAAATGTGAAGGTCCCAAAAAATACAGCCAGAGTATTGGTAAACTAAAAATAAAGAGAAGGTCACCGGCTGTATTAATATGGTCAAAATAAAATCAAAAACATTTTAAATTAGTTTTGCTTTGGTTTCCTGAAGAACGGATCATTAAATCTGAATCGTGAATCAAACTTGGGATAATCTGCCATTCTCGTTCACAACTTCTCCGCCTAGAAACTCTGCTTTCCAGCAAGTTAGTGCCAAGTTTTGGCCATACTAAGTAAAAGCCACTTAAAATAAAAAAAAAAGTGCAGCAGGAGAAGGAGAAAGAGACCGACACACACACGAAACTCATAAAAATGCTTTGTGGTTGAGAATTTCTTTTCTCTTTTATTTTTTGCTGTTATTTTTTATTGTTTGATGGCAAGGTTTTTGTCCTATCCCCAAACTCTCGTCCGGAATTCTTCAACTTTGGCTCCTGCCTTTGAGTTCAGTATTTTGTTTTTTTTTTTGGTTTTCTGCAAACTTTACAAAGCATTAACACCTCATAGATGGCAGACACAAAAGCGGGGGTAAGAGCGAAAAAAATCAAGTTAAAAGCCACAAAACTTCAAACTCAAATATCGTATGTCACGTCACACATTGGCAGGACCAAAAAGGGGGGAAAAGGACAACGGTGCAAGGAGTGCACGTAGATGGTAAAAATTTGATTAAGTTTATTAGGGCCACGACACTCACTTGACATTTTCCCCAGATTTTTGTCTCTCAAAAGTTTGGGGTTTATTGAACACTTTGTTTTTGAACGAACAAAAGAACTTCGAGCTAAATGTTTATTATAACGCGCAGTTGCTTTAATTTTGAATTGGATTGAAGTCTTCCCTTTAATAAAACAAACCTTTTATTACACTTTAAATAATTTAGAAATTTTCTTTTGATACATAGCATTGTTTGAATGAAAGTTAAAAACGAAGAGCGGTGAAAAACGAAGATTGGGCGACGGGTCTGCTATTTTTTTGTTTGTTTTTGAGATGATTTTTACGGGCAACTCTGCTGGACAGCTGCTACTAACAAATGGTTGGAAACTACATATATCTTGAGCATTTGTCAGTAAATTCTGCAAGGGAGCTGCCGCCGTTTCTCTTATCCATACTATCTTACAGTTTAACCAATCCCCGATTGAATCTTCGATTCCGTGCGCCACTTAGACAACAGTCGCCAAAATGACCGTAATGTCATCTGGCTTTCCGCCTGACGCATCAATATTGAGTTTTCGGGCATTCTGACTGAACGGAGAGTCATGATTCGGATTGAAGCTCAAAGTGCGGGCCATCAGCGCCACCGCATTGGCGGTCATCTGAAGGCGTACGGGATCCGAAACGCCCGACATTTCGTTCAGGATCTCGACGAGAAAACCCTCCGGCACATTGTCGTACACCCCATCGGTGGCCAGGATAATAACGTCGCCGAGCTGCGTGGGGAACTCGATTAGGTCCGCCGATTCCGGACCATCCGAGAGCACGTTCAGATCATGGCCCGGCGGAGGAGAGGACAGTTGATAGGGGGTGTTGAAGTGGTGCTGCTGCTCCACCGATCGGCAAACCACGGCACCAGATCGCACCACCAGAAAGCCACTGTCCCCGATATTGGCGGTGTAAAGGGTGCTGTTCGCACGATTGAGGGTCAGGATGCAGGCGGTACAGCTGCCCACCACGGGGCACGTTTGCTCCAGGAGAACGCCATAGGCTCGGCCGAGCAGCAAGTCCGGTCTTTCCGGCTTATAGTCCTTGGCGCAGGACAACTGTTCACAGGATCGCATGAGGAACATGCTGAACTCACCGGGATCCACGCCATAGCTCCGCCAACCGCCCACGCCATCGGCCACGCCCAACGTGTGCGACATCGAGTTGGAGGTCATGAACCAGGCATCCTCACCGAACTTCCCACGATTGTATTGTGAATGTGTGATCCGGTCCTTGGCGAAACCGCACACCACACTCACAAGTCGCGGCAGTCGAATGCTGACTTTGTCCTCGCGTCGAATGAAATCACCTTCGCCACCCGAACTCCTCCGTTGGGCGCTCATCCTGGGGTTGTGGGTCTGGTATTGGCGGTTCCTGGTTATCCAACCCCCATCGCCATTGTCTTCAGTACGCAGCTGCTTGTTGAACGAAACCTCCTTGCCAGTTCGTTCCCATAAACGCCGTAGGAACCGACCACTCTCGTACGTCAGGATCAGGGCGATCTCGAGCAGTTGCTCGCAGTAGCTGAAGAACGATTGCTGGATCGACCGGCGAGTGGTCCTTCCCATGTCTAGACTGAAATCCACATCAATCGCATTCATCGCCGGCGTTTTTTTTTTGTAACAAAATGCTGTGTACGTGTCTCCCAAAATCAAATGGATTGTGTGCTATTCAAACGAATGCCAAACGAAAACTGAATTTTCAAGGAGTCATAACAACAAATGTCGGTTTGGAGTAAGCCAAAGCCTACCAATTAAAAAAAAAGAATATATATAACCTATCTAATACACCCCATTAAATCGCATTTCAATTGATATTTAAGTCCGGTTAAATTCCCTGTAATAATTTTTGGGCAACCGATACCAAGTGCTTCACCCGCCGCCTGCAGTTCTCCCTTCCCATTTCCCTGCCCAAACGAAAGTCCTGTGGAAATGGAGGCCTCAACTCAATTATGCACAATTACGGACACAAACAGATACCAAGTGGCGCCACATGGGAATGCCCCTCTGGAACCCAAACCAACCGAAATTTCGGGGCTTCCCCCGTGGACTGTGCACTTTTTTGGTTGTCTGCGAATCGGAAGGCAGTGGCTGCAATTGCAGTTGCAGATGTGGCACTTGAATTGCATGCATAGCTCATTGCTTGCCACTCGACTGGGATGAAGTGGCGCAGATGCCGAATGGGTGGCGCAGGTGGTGTTCCACTAAAAAAAAGAGCTTTATTTATTCAATAGAACCATTTTTAATAATTTGAGGAAGTACTTGAGACGTTCTAAAAATATTTCTATGCAAATATTTATATTTTCAAATTGTTCCCCTCTTAAAAAAAATATAATTTAGAACACACATACCTGCAAATCAATCCTAAATTACGATCAGTTTGTATATTAGAAAACAAAATGTTTGGACAATATTCACTGGAATGGGAGTTGTTAAAGCAACTTTTTTGTTTTCTGTGTGACGTTTGTTGAAATGCCATTGAATTGCTTAAATACTTTCATCGTCGTCATCGCTTAATGGTTTGCCTTTTTTGGTTGCCATGTCTACTTGGCGTTGCGTTTGGGTTTTGGTTTGGGTTTGGGTTTGGGTTTGGTAGCTTTAGGTGCCTCTCCCCGAAAAATAACGATGCCAGCATATGCGAGTGGCATGAATAAACGGCCTGCTTGAACGAGTGAATGAATGAATGAACGAACGAATCACTGACTGGATGGCTGATATGAAGTGCAATCAATGCAAAAACGTTTTCAAGTGCCCAGCAGCCAGGCAGGCAGTTAGTCAACCATCCATCCAGCCATTTATTCAACCAACCAGACTAGACAATCCAGCACCAGATGCAATTTTCCCCCGGGGGTTTCGGGGTTTCGGAATTGGGAGAGGGGAATATTAGATGCATGGCCCACACACAAGCCATGTGCGTCGGTGTGAAAGGATTATTCACACACTATTGATTTCAAATTGAGTTGACTTCAAATCCGTCTGAATTGACAGCAGCCAGCAGTCAGCAGCCAGCAGCCAGCTGCACATGGCAACACATCCCATTCCCAGGCTCTCCACCAGGAAGTTGACTAATGAATTTAATTTGCAGTGGGTGTTGAAGCAAATAGAGCAGCTCACAGACCTCGCAGCCAGAGTCACAGGCTCTCAGATCAGCGAACCAGCAACTGACTGATTGACTGCCCGCCCAAAGTCCTGATGTCTGGTGTCCTGATGCCAGTAAGTAGGCAACTGTTTTTGTTTACCCACTTGAGGGCCCCCACATCGCCGATGAATTGCCGCAATTGATTGACATTGGCCGGATGCCGCAAATATCTGACACCCAAGGTTTTGGGTTCGCCTGCATTGCTGGTGCAACAGGAAGTTTTGAAAGCTCACCGTAAAAATAACTTTAAAATATATAAGCTATAATAAATAAAAAAGGTATACTGAAAAATATTTGTTAATTAATTGTTTTATTTCAACATTTTGAATTGCAAAATAGGAAATGGCAAACAAAAAATGGTAGCTTATCCTTTTCTCTCTCCTTTTATCAAAACTTCTATTCGTTACACAGAGAAAAATATAAGATTCAGTTTCCAATTAATTTATTTACATGCAATGATTAAAGTAGAAAGATATACATACATACTAGTGTTCTGTGTATGAAATTTAATATCTTGGTAAATAGTAAATACAAACATACAAACATGATATTAGCTGTTAGCATTAAGTAACTGATTTAATTAGCATTAAGTAACTTACTTAATATTCAACACTTGTTCAACATATAAATTAACCAGTGGAAATTTATTGAATGGCAAGTAAGAATCCTTTTTGGGCAGTGCAATGACAATACAATGTGAGCGTTTGGTCAAAAGGACAAAGGGCCGCGCCACAATTGCCAACTGACCAATGATCAATTTAATGGGAAAACAATATTGATAGCCGAGGAGCACTTGGCAGGAATTTCCTGTCTGCGGACAGGATGCTCGAGGAGCGGAAGTGTTGCGGTTTTCGGTAAAACTCGAAGGGAAACGTGGAAGCTGGCCACAGTTTTGTTTGTTTTCCTCGGAAACTTTGCAAAGTTTTGGTGTTGTGTTGTAACTAAATTTCGAGAGGACAAAGGGCAACACTTTCACTTCGTCTCGGGAGCTTTCTCTGTTTGGTTTCTTGTGGTTTATTATTCACGCCTGAATTGATTGTAAATTAAAGTTTGTGTCGTTGTGCATTTTGAGGTCAGCCTATGGCAAAGTTTTCTTTTGTGTTAGTGTGTGTGTGTGTGAGTGTGAGTGTGGACTTGGGGATCTTGGGTCCTCGGGTCCGGCCTTTGTCCTCCGTTGTCCTGTGTGTAGTCCTGTGTGAAGTCCTTCTCGGTCCTGGGTCCTTGATGCCCTTCCATATTAGAAGCCAAAAGGCATTCGAGTGCACATAAGACGATTACACATCATTTAACCGACGCACACTGCAAAACTATGGCCCGAAACCCCCCCACTCACCCACTCACCCATTTACCACCCACCCACCAGCACCTTTTACACTCTGTAATTGTTGCTCCTTCTTATTGACTGCTGCATATTGATTATAGCGCCCGTCGCCTTGGAGTTTCCTTCCCAAGTTCATTTTCGCATTTTCCCTCTTGACTTGACTTGATTGCCGGCATTTGTCGTTTCTTGTTTCTTGTTTAAAATTCAATCGCTGCACTCAACTGTGCACGAAATGTATTCATGTGTATAAACTTTAGTTTGGGGCTTTTGGTTCTCGATGTGTATGTATGTGTGTACGTTTTGAGACAAAATTAATTTGGTGTTAATAAAGTGAAAGTGTGGCCCGGCTTTCAGCCTTTGTCTCTCGGCTGTGATAACTTTAAGAAGGCTTAAATTGATTGCCTCCTCGAAACTTTAAAGAGCCCATTTTGATTGGGCTTTTCTGGGTGCTCCCTTCTGTTGGGGAAATGTTTAAATGAAAGGTCTTAGTCGCTTAGGGTTTTTATGTCGTGTCGACAGATTTCCAGTCTACTTTCAAATTTTAAACTTCCAACATTTTAGTCTGTATATTTTCGAATTAGACTACGATTGATCGGAATAAAAATGCAAACCAGTAAGTTTTCGCAAACCGTTAGTAATCCGCTAACTTCGGTGGGAGTGGGCGTGGCAGTGGGGCTTGCCGCCTGCGGCATTGTGGCTCAAATCTTTAGATCGCCCACCGCCTCAAATCGAATCGGTCGGCTGTGGTTGCGCATGGGAAATTTGGGAACCAGACGCTTTTACTGCGGCGGCTTTCAGGTGAAAATCTAATATGGGAAAATACATAATATTATAATATATAATATAAATATGTATATTACGATGCAGGAGCGAATGACACCCCGCGAAGCGGCACAAATTCTGGGCACCAGTCTCAGCGCCCCATGGACCGAAATGCGAGCGGCTCACCGACGGGTCATTTTGGCCAATCATCCGGATCGCAATGGGTCACCATATCTGGCTGCTAAAATCAACGAGGCCAAGCATGTGCTTCTGGACCGAAGGAATCGAACCAGAACAAAATAACAAAATTATAAATGTTTAAAACCAAATACCCCGAATCTATTGCAGCTAAGCAAAATGAGATTGCAAGTGTATCACGCATTGTAAATTATTAAACTGATAGTATTATTTGCACCATCTGAATGTGTGAACATTTCCAAGTATGCGGTGAGGTATCTCGTACATAAGTATACGCATTCGTATTTATTTATTTGGTTTTTGTGAAGCACTGCTGCTAATGTCCTGTCCTCAGAGGTCCTCCTGCTAGTTTGGCGATCCTTTTTCCTGTCCCACGCACGCCACAAAGTGCCTGTTCGCTGGGGATGCGATGTGTACTTGGGTCAACTGAACTGCTTCCTTTCTGCAGCTCCTTAAGCTGCCAAACTTTTGCCACTTGGCCGCAGTGCTCGTCGAGTTGCTGGTGTGGGCCTTTCTGGGGTTAACCCTCTGGATAACCCGACAACATAATGGTCAGTAAAACTTAAAATAGTTTCTTTGCGTGGAAGTGTTTTATTGAGAGTGCATCTAATCTAAATCAAAGAATTATTGTTCATATTCTCCGAGTTCCTTGCATTAAAATAAAAATTTGATTTGATCCTCGATTTGTTCGATATCATTGCCATAAGAAATATCGTCAAAAATCCATTAAAAAAATCCCATTTATTATTAATAAATACGAAACTTTCAGGCAACTTTTGGAATTTCCAACTGCCTGTAATTAAGGGGTTAAGCGAAAAGGAGCCACTGGCCAATGTCCTGGCATGCACTTGACGGTTGTTCTGCCCGCACCCAAAAAATGCATCTCCTTTTCCAGTCTTCTTGGAGATCAAAGTTGGCAACTTTTGAGAGTTGAGGAATTTTCGACAAGGCGACTTGGAGGCAAACTTTTGTTACTGTACCTGAGCAAAAGGACGAAGGACGATGGACGAAGGACTCGCCACCGAAAAAGGAGGTGGAATTAGAGGCGGCAAGTTTAATTGTTGTGTGTTGTCCTGCCTTTTGGACCGACCGGGCACGAGTATAAATTCAACCGGCGCTCAGGTGTCCTTAGTGGTGTTCTAATTACTAACAAACTTAATTTGCTACAAGTTATTTTCTTGCGGACGGACACCGCTCACTCGTACTCGTACTCGTACTCGTACTCCTGGTCGCACTTCCCTCGGCTACCACTTTTTATGGCCATGGCCACTTGACTCGCCACTCCTTCGGCCAGGACACTTAAGCCCACGCGAATCCCGGCCTTCCCTCTGCTCGAGAGCTTCGCTGCGCCGAAGGAGCGTGCAAAAATAAAGGACACGGCAGGCGGAGAGTCCCCGAAAAAGAATAAACTCAAGAACTAAGTCGCCAGAATCCTGTGACAGGGGAAAAATTCGGATGCAAATGAGACCAGGAATCACATTTTCAGATGGTTTTTATAGTGTTTGAAGAAAACTCTCGAATACATTTACACACTTAAATCGAAATCTAGTAATAATTCAAATTCCATTCAAAAGCAAATAAGAAAATCTCTTCTGAGTAAATAAGGTAAATATTTATTTTACTCAGGCCTGTTAATCACAGCTCTTGTGGCATTGCAGGCACTGTTTTTCTTGAGGGCAACCACAATCGGTGTTAGCCGCCTGCTTGGGTCAAAAGTTCGAGTGATTCTCGTTTGGGGACCCAAGATGAACAGCCAGCAACCGACACTTCATTGGCCAAGACGGCAAACGGGGGCAGTGGATATGGTTTTTCGGCTTCGAGTTCGAGGGTTCGAGGTCCTCCTTCTGTCCCAAGACCTTTAAGACGGGGCTCTCCCGGTTGTAAATTATGCGCTTTGGCTTACAAATTGCATGTGCCTGGCAGCATGAAGCATGTGGCCAGTCAACTGGCCGACTCCTGCCGAGGATGCTGATGCAATTCTGTCCCTGACTTGGCATCACCTACGTCACCTACGTCCAGTTCCTTTGCCTTTTCCTATTTGTCTGTTTTTAACGCCTTTTGCGAGGGTACTAAAACAAAACTGAGCATGTTGGACAATAAATAATTCAAGAAACTGTTTAGCAAATAACTATCTAACTATCTGGTTATATGTTAAACTAATAGATATTTAAAATATGTACTTTGATGTAGAGATTTATTTATAGCCTCATAACCTTCATATAATATACGATTTCTTTAGGTTCTGTCTTGTTTTTTATAGAATTTCTTTTGTAGGGTATAAGAGCATTCGCTACACCTCAGATTGCATTCAGTACTTGCATCCACAGCCTCCAACAAATGCGTGGTCAAAGTTGTTTGCATGTCCGAGTTTGTAGCCGGGTATTCAAATGAGCGGCTTGCAACTTGTTTTTGCGGCAACTGGGCAACTTCTTGGACATACTTTTGCCCCGACTCAAAGGCAAATATTTTATGCTTTACGTGGTTAGGTTACTTGAGAAATTACGTGGCTTCCTGCGCACTTTCCACCCCGTTTTCATTGTCTTTTGATGGTGCGGCCCCCCCCCATTTCGCCCCATTTCGTCCCCATTTCTGCATTAGTATTTAACATGAGGCTGCCTAAAAGTATGCAAAGTTATTTCTTGTGTGCGTCTTGCGGGTTAACTAAATGCTACATCCTAACTCTAAACGCATTCAACTTGACTTTTTATCTTTAACCAACCCATTCCATGCCATCCCGTCCCTTTGAATCCATCTCATCCCCCGTTTGCAGCCAGAATGCTTTTGTGTACTTAGCGCAACCGCAAAAAAAAGTTGTAAAAATCGTGTAAAAAATTCTCGCACACGAAACGTGCAAAATGCGTTTTAGTTGTGGCCACACTGGACTCTAATAATTTATTTTAATGATAATGCATGGTGGCCATTCGGCGTGGTGGTCGGTCAGCCGAAAGTTGCTTTCTGGGGTTAAGTAACCGCGATGCCTGACTAACTCGACTGACTGAGTGTCACATTCTGGTTCCTGGTGGGCGAAAGAAAGTTTATAGAGGCCGACTTCCCCGAATCAGTTTTCGCCTAATGATATGCCAGAAATATTAAGTGCTCGACACGCTCACTTGGACAGTTGAGGGGGGCGTGTCGCATATAGCGCATCATTGTAAAACCCTTTCGGCAAGACAAGTGCAAAGTTTTCCCCGCAAAAACTTTTATGCTACCATAAAACTTGTGCATTTTTCTACAAAACAAAGAAGAAATAACCAAGCAAGGAAGAAAAAAACAGGATAAAATACACCCGAAACAGAAACACAGTTGGTCTCACTTTTCTTTTTTTTTTTTTTTTGCTTAAAACAAAATGCAAATAAAAAAGTTTTACCCTAGGAGAGCCGCTTTTTTCCACGGCTTTTTTTTATTACTTTTCCAAGAACTACTTGGACCGAAGGTTGCTTTGCTTTTTCAGTGGGGGAAACCACAAAGTTTGGCGGGTTATTGGTGGGTGGTTTAGCCCCTGGGCCCGCAGCAAAAAGGTTTGAACCGAAAAACCTTCAAGGGAAATGTTCTTTTACCGCATTTATGGTTTCTTGTAAATTTGTAAAACACTCATAGAAACATTTCCGTGATGTAAAAATATTTGAGTTTCTCTCACATTGTAAACAAATTGATATTTAATTTATGAATATTTACTAAAGAAGATCTAGTGCCTAAATAAAGTATTTGTCAGATTCGAATGTGTTTCTAACATTTTGATCGGTTTTAAGAATATTCGTTATTTGGTTATGACTTTGAGTACGTTAACGTATCAACAAGTAGATTTATCTCCGCTTAATCACATCGGCTTTTTGGAGAGGAACTCGTTCCCATAGCTGTCGAAATCCCGCATCCGATTTCCGCGGATTGAAATGGGCGATCGTATCCCTCGTGTAACCAGTTAAAACTCCAGGCACTTCCGCGGAGGCTTCCTCGTCGAAGTGGTGAACCTCGTCGTTTCCGAAAGAGCCCTCGTCCATAAACTCCAGTGCAAGTGTCTGCGCAGACGAAAATTCGATTAATATTTTATACTATTTGGTTCACTCTTTAAAAAAAAAAACACTATTAAAATGTTGTACTCAGGAACACAAAAAATAAAATCAACTTCTTCTTATTGGTTTCCCACTTACCACGTGGGTAAAAACGGCAACCACTGCCAAAATGGCCAATAGTTTGCGAAAAAAAGCCATGGCCAGAACTGGTAAAAGTAGAATACTTTAGGCGCGAGTTTAAATCGATGTCAAAGAAGGCCTCACAACATTTTCCGTTGAGCGACGAAAACAAACTGAAACCGCAAAACCGGCAGCGAATTGAGCCCAGTAAATCGGCTGGAAGGCATTATAGTTGCGGCCCCACGTGTGCCGCATACCGAAAAAGCACCATTGACCCTGCCAATACTATATAGTATACTAAGTGGGGTTTATTTTTAGCCTACGGCGTCATACCCTCCGCCCACTTCTCACCTTTCCGATTCACCTGTCGGCTCTGTTGACTCATTCAATTGCCCGCTTTAATGATGGAAATTGCTTTTTTTGTGCCGCTGCCGTCGCCGTTTGATTTGTGTTTTAATTTCCATCAATGGCTGTGCGAATTATTGACCAGAACGTGGCTGGAAAAAACGTTCAGCAATTTGTGTGTGATGTATGCGCAAAAAGCGTCAGTTGTCATGTTTGGCTGTGAATTATGATGACTGGCCGCAGTGGTTGGGGTTAAACGCAAAAACATGGCTGCAACACATTAAATATTAACTTCAGATTGTCCCTGGTTCAAAATTCAATGATAAAGAAATATTGCCATATAAATTATAATTATTAAGGTTGCCTAAGTATTTATAACAACCTTTAACATTTAAATTATCTTTTTTACGAATCCAGTTACTCTACACGATTTATATTAGTTCACGACTTTTTTCTGTTAACGAAACCCTTGAACACATTTATTTTTCTTATAAATAATACTCCTTGCAGTCTTCTAAGATCAGTTTCCAACAACCCACAATTTAAAATGAAGACAACCATTGCCATTCTGGGAATTTTCGTGGCTATCTTCTGCAGTCTGCAATCTCCGATCGCAGCTGTATGTTTTCCATATTCCATTTCCCATAATCTTCAATGTAATCCTTTTAATTCCTTACTAGTGTGATATTGAAGTGGTCTATAATCAAGCAGTTGAGTTATGTGACACCTTCTCCTTTTTCAACTTCGACTTTTGTGAGAGATTTTCTTATGTAAGATTACACATTGTAATTTATCTTGAAAGTAACAGACTAATCATATTTTTTTAGGACATCAGCAACGAGAAATTGGTGGAATTGCTTGAGTCGGAAAAGGCATCTGTCTGTAAAGCCCCACTTTTTTCGACAATCTGTGCTGTTTGCGATTTTTCATCCATAATATCCAATAATCAAAATGTTACGATTAACGGTACAAACCCAGCCGGAAACGCATAAAACCCCTTGGATGCCCCTAATTTAGTTCCCTATATAGGAGTCTAATAAAAACCAAGATGATAACAAGAAATCAACCGAACCGGTATATTGAACATATATAACTACACTAAATCCTTCTGTTTCTATACTTGGCATGCCAGCCCTGAAATATATTCCCCAAGCATTAAAAATATTTTGTTTTTATAGGTAATAAAGGAAAAAAAATGGGTGTTTGAAAACATAAACAAATGTTTTTTTTGTACTTTTAACGTGAACATTAAATACATCTGTTTTTTATCATCTAACCAAAGGAATAGTTTAATGCCAATTAAATTGCATTCGGTGGCTTGAGTAGTTGGGCTTTTCTAGTTTCCAAAACTATACTTTGTTTGGCTGTAAGTTGTTTCTTGCCCAAATAACAGACAAATTACCAATGGAAAAAGTTTTTTTTTTTGCCCAAAACTACAAAAAATGGCTTTAAAAAACCCAATTTTTTTGCATTATCTAAGGAAGTACTCTTCCAAATGTGGAATGGCATACATCGTTGAATTCGCAGTAAAATTTCCTATCCGATGGTATAAACACCCAAAAAAGTTGAAATTTTGCCATTTTTCGCAAAAAATGACGATGTTACCCCTTATGAAAAATGCGAAAATTGGCCAAAAATCATTTTTTTTGAATCGTCCAAAAAGTGATTGGGCTCGTTAACTGTGGTCATAAGGTGCTCAAAACAGTGTTTGGTTCCGCTGTAAGTCACTTTTTGGCCCTATTACAACCAAAAAACTACTAAAAAGATAGTTTTTTTTTTACCAAAATTGTCAACAATTGTCTTTTCCAAATTGGTTTTTATCAACTAACTAAAGGATCAGTTAAATGACAATTAAAATAGGATAGATAGTTGTTCTACATTATTTCTGCTCTTTTTATTAGTTTTAGAAATAAGGCATCATAAAAGTAGTTTTTAAGTTGAAAAAAATATAACCTTTTACATATTACTTAATTATTCAATTTAAGTTTACTTTAGGAATAGATAAACTTTCATTAAGATTGCTGTTTGCTCTGAAAACCCACGATTTGTATTGGGTCACGACTTGACTTACCTTCTTATCATAAACATTTTTCCTATATATACCAATGTGTTAGGCTTTCGGAAGTCAGTTGGAATACTTACAAACCAAAATGAAGATTTCCGTAGCAATTCTTGGCCTGTTCCTTGTGGTTTTCTGCAGTTTGGAAACGCCTACATCAGCTGTAAGTTCCGTTAATCCTCTTTAATAATTGTTTTATTAATAATTTTTAAACCCATTTTCAACATCCATTAGGTTTTTTTTCCGCCTCCCAAAATTTTCTGCAAACATTTTCCCGTTTTTTGCCCTGACATCGATGATAAAGCAACTACAGTAAACTCAGCAACTACAGTGGATTCAGCAACTACAGTAGATGCAGCTACTACAGCATCTTCAGTAGCTGATAGTACAACTGCGGCTCCTGAGGGTACGACTGCTGCCTAATGATTCCGTCCCTTAACCCATTAAAGACCAATATTGTGCACTTTATCCTTTGATTCTTTCACTCTGGCATGCCAACAATTTATAAATAAACAATTCCCGAGCATTCAAAATAATTTGGTTTACATTTATTCGGTAAAAATGGGAATGGCAAATAGAATAGTGAAGATGAACAGTAAAAGCCTATTCAAATTACTTTTTCCCTTCTCACAACGGAAATTTCCATAAAGTTAATCACTCGGCTGGATTCCTCACACCTTGAAGGCGACTTTCAGTAAAAATTCAATTAATCGTGAGCTCTATCGGAGAATGCAATCGCTTATGAACTCATAAGTACATCAGCGCCCCTCCATCCGTGCCTCGAAAATACACACAGAGCCCTGTATTTAGTGGACATAGTTAAAGATCGTTATCCAATTAGTCAAAAGCTCGTGTAATAAATTGCCCGAATTAAGGTGCGGAATTTTAATTACATAATTTACGCGTGCGTTGCGTGGCCATCGAAGATCCGAGGGATGGTTTTACTCGTACGCTGGCCCACCGAATCGGGATTCCGACCTGGCCAAAAAAAAAAAAAAAACAGAAATAAAACAAACAAGTCAAGCGCAGTCGAAAAAGTGCGTTTGATAGCTCATCTTAATAGAAAAGTACACGCAATTTGGGTGCGCGGTCGGGTCATTAGAAAAATGACAGTAATAACAATAATTATGAATTTTATCCGATTAACGGGAAGAGCCAACTAACGGGTGTATATATTCAAATATTTAGTGCAATGCGTGCCATTGAACAATTAATTCTTATCTAGTTGGGCTGATGCAACAGTCCCTCTGACTTTTGACCCCTGACTCCTAACTCCTGACTCCTGGGTGCTGACTACGACCTCGGTGGCATTTCTCACATGTCATCGTGGCCAGAACCGAGAGAAAATATTACCAAATTTGGCTTATTTCTTTTAAGTGGTCTTATAGTAAAATGAGAGTCATTAGTGCTTATACTATTGATCATATGAAATTATATTTCATTACATTGAGCTTGATTGTTTTCTTAAGGAACATTTTTAGAATAAATGTATCGAACATGTACCCTATATTTTTCTCTGCGTGCACCGCCAACTGTGGGGCAATCGCGTGTCAAATGCGCTCAATTTTGTTATGACAATGCGATGTAATTAGGGGCCACGCATAGGCCCGATGACGATGCCAAAGCCCATAATATATGAGTCCTGCTCCCAGTTGCCGGTTCCACTTTCCACTTTCCCCTAACCACTATCCCCCTACCACTTTCCCATTTTCAGTTCCGCCGGCTGGCTAATCGCTATCCCAGTTTTTGGGTGTGTTTCGCGCACTTGATAAATATTGTAAATGGCAGCACCCATTACATGCCATTCCCACCGACGACGATGACCGAAGTGTGAATGACAGTGGCTCGCTGAAAAGGCGGTGGGATTGTGTGTGGAAAGAGTGTGTGTGGGGTTACATTTGCATATGTAGAAAGTCACTGCGGCAGGGAGTGGTTTCGAATCTAATTGCTGCAGCGTAAGTTGCGTTCAGGTGAGTAAAATATCTAAAGTAATTCACTGGGTTCGATTCCATACATTACTCCTAATTAGGAAGAAGTTAAACTATTTTAACAACATTTTTTACTATGATTATTCTATTTTAATATCTAGCATACATAATCACAGGCAAAAGAGGCTTAGGAAAAATCGAGTGTGGGAATGTCGGGCCAACTAATTAAAACCACTTAACAAATGCTTTCTCAACTGTAAAGTTAGCTATAAACAACGAACCACACACACATACACACATGCAGAGAGAGACATATGCAACTTGAAACAAAATTAAAAAGCAAATAATTTTCATGGCATTTCCCGGGCAGCAGGAACGAAAAAAAGAGAGAAAAGCACACAGAGGCAAAGAAAACAAGAAATTCCAACATAATTCCAAATAATATTACAACACCTGCGAAACGGTTTTGAGTGGCCCACCAAAAGTGGGGGACGGATTTATACACATATGCGAGCGGGAAAAGGGCTTTTTCTTGAAAAATCGCTCCACTGGAATTAATTAATTTGCCGTTGACGCTACAGCGTAAAAAAAGAAAAACATAAAAAAGTATGCGAGAGAAAAATCAGTCAGCGAAATCAAAATAAATGAGAAGATGTGCAACACAGACACAAACTAAAATATTTTAAAAAGGATATTAAAAAGCATACAAAATTTAACACCTCATAATAAAATCTATATGTTCTTTAGACAAATATAGTTCTAAGTATTAGCCGTATGCATTTGATGTGCGGCGTTGAAAAAATTCCACTGCAACGCATTTTCAAGGTGCAAAACGCATACAATTTTTGATTCTGATTTGCCAGCATGTGTGTGTATGTGTGTGAGTGCAGGTGCAAGTGTTTGTATGTGTGTGTGTCTCCAGCTGTGTGTGTAGTGGCACTTGCTGCTCATTTTATGCTTCGATTGCCGCTAAAGTGCAGACGCTTTTTGCCACAGCTGAAGCTGAAAACTGAGAACAGAAAACAGAAAACTGAAGCTCCAGGCATCTGCATTTTTCATCCGATTTTGTGCTGCAAAAAACTGTTTCAAAAATATATCACATTTTCCTTATTTTTGTAATCGTCCAAAAAGTGATTGGGCTCGTTAACTGTGGTCATAAGGGGCTCAAAACAGTGTTTGGTTCCGCTGTAAGTCACTTTTTGGCCCTATTACAACCAAAAAACCACTAAAAAGATAGGATTTTCTACCAAAATTGTCAACTGATCTTTCCCAAATCAGTTTTTATGAACTAACTAAAGGATCAGGATTAAATAACAATTAAATTGCATTCGGTGGCATGAATAGTTGGGCTTTTCTAGTTTCCAAAACTATACTTTGTTTGGCTGTAAGTTGTTTCTTGCCCAAATAACAGACAAATTACCAATGGAAAAAGTTTTTTTTTTGCCCAAAACTACAAAAAATGGCTTTAAAAAACCCAATTTTTTTGCATTATCTAAGGAAGTACTCTTCCAAATGTGGAATGGCATACATCGTTGAATTCGCAGTAAAATTTCCTATCCGATGGTATAAACACCCAAAAAAGTTGAAATTTTGCCATTTTTCGCAAAAAATGACGATGTTACCCCTTATGAAAATTGCGAAAATTGGCCAAAAATCATTTTTTTTGAACCGTCCAAAAAAGTGATTGGGCTCGTTAACTGTGGTCATAAGGTGCTCAAAACAGTGTTTGGTTCCGCTGTAAGTCACTTTTTGGCCCTATTACAACCAAAAAACCACTAAAAAGATAGGATTTTCTACCAAAATTGTCAACTGATCTTTCCCAAATCAGTTTTTATGAACTAACTAAAGGATCAGGATTAAATAACAATTAAATTGCATTCGGTGGCATGAATAGTTGGGCTTTTCTAGTTTCCAAAACTATACTTTGTTTGGCTGTAAGTTGTTTCTTGCCCAAATAACAGACAAATTACCAATGGAAAAAGTTTTTTTTTTGCCCAAAACTACAAAAAATGGCTTTAAAAAACCCAGTTTTTTTGCATTATCTAAGGAAGTACTCTTCCAAATGTGGAATGGCATACATCGTTGAATTCGCAGTAAAATTTCCTATCCGATGGTATAAACACCCAAAAAAGTTGAAATTTTGCCATTTTTCGCAAAAAATGACGATGTTACCCCTTATGAAAATTGCGAAAATTGGCCAAAAATCATTTTTTTTGAATCGTCCAAAAAGTGATTGGGCTCGTTAACTGTGGTCATAAGGTGCTCAAAACAGTGTTTGGTTCCGCTGTAAGTCACTTTTTGGCCCTATTACAACCAAAAAACCACTAAAAAGATAGGATTTTCTACCAAAATTGGCAAAAGTCCTATTATCTCAACGGAAGTTTCCTGACCATTCTTTTCCATACTCATCTACCCATCGATCAACGAGCGCAGCTGAAACGACGTTGGGGGATTCATCGAGGAGCAGCAGACAATTATTCGCCTTGGACGAGCAGAGTGATTTATTTATTATTAAGGTTTTATGTTACTTTAGAGATATTCTTTTAAATATAGGATATTTTATTATAGATTTTATGTTATTATTAAATGAAAATGAAATTAAATAAAATGTTTTTTCTTGGCTTGGGGCTATATTGAAAATTATGAGTGGTTTATAGAATATCCTCATAAGGAGTGGCTAAAAAGGAGATGATGGCTCAAATCCCTAAATTCGATGGAAAAAACGAGTTCGAAATATTACTGACCATTTGGACAGCCAAAAAGGCAATTTCTGAAAACAAAGTACCAGGCGAACAGAAGTTCCTAGAAGGTGGAATTTATCAAATTAATTTATAATTTTATCCGAGTTTCAAACCCAATACTATCAGTGATGCTCAACCCACAATCCCAGTATTTTACGTGGATCGAGCATAGTCAAGTTTCGAACCACGACCCTTAGTACCATCCATAGAGGAAATTGTTGCATATCTTAGGGGGCAGCTGATTTTGGATTTCGGATTTTGTTGCCACCTTCTAGGCATTTCTGTTCGCCTGGTACTTTGTTTTTAGAATTTGCCAATTTGGCTGCCCAAATGAACAAAATTACTCTTCGAACTCGTTGTTTTCTATTGAATTATTGGATTTCAGACACCAAGCGAACATGATCAGTAGAAGGTCGCGTCTGATAAATATAAGTTAAATAAATAAGAAATACGTCTGTGTCAGGTTTCTGTTCGCTTGATGTCTAAAATTAAAAAAATATCCAATTTATAGTAAATACTCCTCGGAACTTGCTTGTTTTCGACCAAATGCTAAAAATTGCGATACCAGGCAAACATATCTCATTGCAAGTTGCTGCAGGTAAGTTTGCTGGCGTTTCTGTTTGCCAGGTTCCTAAAAAAATCCCCCACACGCTCAAATTCATTCAAACAATAAAAATTTCATAAGTTAGTTTTTATTATCTTCAATAAATAATAATAATAATAAATAAATAATTCGATTTCTAAATAATATTACTTATTAATAACTTATTGCTGGTTTCTTATGTTTATTATGTTGTTATAGCATATTGTATCGCCGACCTCCTCTTCCAACTGCCCTCGTTGATCGATGAATCCTGAAAGTAGAAATATATAGGGGAATGTCGTCAAGGTTGGACAGTTGTCAGGGTCGGACACTTGCAATTTTTCTAATAAACCAACTATCGCCATCTGTGTGCGAATGTGGTATTAATTGTTATCACTGTGGGAAACTTTTCATCCCTAGCCGCATCCCATAACTGTTAATTTTCCTGTTTTGTTGACATAGTGTCGTGATAGTGAAGAAGAAAGTATTCGAGAACGCGCTAAAAAAGTGGCATAATTCAGCGGAAAATATGCCATCCGCAGGGTAAGTTTAAAAATACGTTAAGTGGTTCCCCCTTAACGAAATACTAAAAAAAATTTGTTCTAAATAAAGCGATTTGGTAGTTATGTTGTGCGGTAGAGTTATGACTCATGTTGTCAGGGTTGGACACTTTTTGTTGTCAAGGTTGGACACCCTTGGTTTTTCCCAAATATACCTACATATTAATTAAAGAAATAGATTAAAGTTCTAAAAATAAAGTATGAGTTGGATGAATAAATAAATTTAGTAATTAATTACTTGATTCAACAAAAAGTGAATTAATTAGTAAATAAGTAAAAAAAATAAATCCTTTGAGTAATAATTTATTTTCTCCCTTTGAAGAGGTTCACGCTACAAGCGAACGACGGAAAGAGGTAAAGTCGACTTGCATAATGCTGTCCTGTTTGTCCTAATTGCGAATCTGATTAATTTTTTTTCATACTTGGTTGTAAAATTTGTTGTTCATAATGAAAAAGAGTCGAAAGACATAAAATACACCTGATCCATGGATAATGTCCTCTTTTATTGCTACTTTTCTGAAGTAGCAATTCAAGTGTCCAACCATGACTACAGTGTCCAAGCCTGACTACATTTTTTTTTTTTTTTAAATACTCGCCATTTCTATGTTTTTCATTTCACAACATAATTTTCATTGTCAGACATACCAATTGCCTTTACCTTTCATACTATTTACGCAAATGATCTTAATTCTTATTAAAACGATAATTATGGGCAAGGGTCAAAAATGTGTCCAACCCTGACGACATTCCCCTATATATGTATTAAATATTTATTATATTTAAGAAGGTCATATCTTAGGGAGCTACTGGTTAGTAGGTATGCCAGCTATAAATATAGTGAACTTTGGTCAATTTTCAGCAAACCCATCATTAAAATTGAAAAAAAATGTTCATAAAACATAAATGAAGAAATCTATAATATTAATTAAGACAAAAAAGTGAAAACCATAATTCTGTAGTTATCTATTAGGTGGCATGCCTCTGAAAGTAATAATTTTCATTGATTTTATTAAATATAGAGTATAGTGTTTTCTACTGGAATTGTCAACTGATCTTTGCCAAATCAGTTTTTATGAACTATGGAACAATGGAAAAAGTTCTTGTTGCCAAAAACTACAAAAAAAAGCTTTAAAAAACTCAGTTTTTTTTGAATATCTGAGAAAGTACTCTCCCAAATGTGGAGTGGCATACATCGTTGAATTCGTAATAAAATTCTGATTTCGATGATATAAACACCCAAAAAAGTTGAAATTTTGCCATTTTTCGCAAAAAATGACGATGTTACCCCTTATGAAAATTGCGAAAATTGGCCAAAAATCATTTTTTTTGAATCGTCCAAAAAGTGATTGGGCTCGTTAACTGTGGTCATAAGGTGCTCAAAACAGTGTTTGGTTCCGCTGTAAGTCACTTTTTGGCCCTATTACAACCAAAAAACCACTAAAAAGATAGGATTTTCTACCAAAATTGTCAACTGATCTTTCCCAAATCAGTTTTTATGAACTAACTAAAGGATCAGGATTAAATAACAATTAAATTGCATTCGGTGGCATGAATAGTTGGGCTTTTCTAGTTTCCAAAACTATACTTTGTTTGGCTGTAAGTTGTTTCTTGCCCAAATAACAGACAAATTACCAATGGAAAAAGTTTTTTTTTTGCCCAAAACTACAAAAAATGGCTTTAAAAAACCCAGTTTTTTTGCATTATCTAAGGAAGTACTCTTCCAAATGTGGAATGGCATACATCGTTGAATTCGCAGTAAAATTTCCTATCCGATGGTATAAACACCCAAAAAAGTTGAAATTTTGCCATTTTTCGCAAAAAATGACGATGTTACCCCTTATGAAAATTGCGAAAATTGGCCAAAAATCATTTTTTTTGAATCGTCCAAAAAGTGATTGGTCTCGTTAACTGTGGTCATAAGGTGCTCAAAAAAGATTTTGGTTCCGCTGTAAGTCACTTTTTGGCCTTATTACAACCATAAACCACTCAAAATATAGTGTTTTCTACCGGAATTGTCAACTGATCTTTCCCAAACCAGTTTTTATGAACTAACTAAAGGATCAGTTAAATAACAATTAAATTGCATTCGGTGGTATAGGAACAATCGGTGAAAATGTGGTAAAATAAATAGAAAAATTGTTATTATTTGATATTGATATAAAACATTTGTGATGACTCCAAGGGTCAGGGTAGAATCAAACACATTATAGAAGCGATAAAAATAATTTTTTGGGTCATTAGACAAGCATTGAAGCTTAGCAAGCAAAACACTTTAAAATAGTTATTTACCATGGAGAAATCTTGATAAGAGCGGTTCTATAAAACGAAGAGAACCACCGAATTTGAAGTACAGTTGGTTCATAATCTACGCAATGGAATATACAATTTTGGTTATTCTGGCTCTGACTCTGGTCCTTATTAATGGCCAGAAATGTTTGGCTGCTCCCTCGGCTGATGATCTGACCAAATTTGGGGAAATGGAGCGAACAATCAAGGAGCTGACCAGTTCGATCCTGGCCATGAGTGGAGCCACTACTGGTGAGTTCGTAATTAATAATGGAATCCTGTGCATTCCTTATATTTATATCATTTGTAGGTCTAAGTTCGGGCGATAGAAATGGCAACAATGCCTGGCCTGAAGATTTTCAGGCTTAAATTTGCAGAACTTCACTTGGCTCGGTCTACTAAATAAATTTTAGCAGCTCTGCAGTTTTATAATTCGTGACCCTCTTTTTTTTTTTAAATTTTTCTTTGAGCAATAAAATTTGAAGCAAACACAAAGTATCCAATAACTACATTTTCTTTTCATAAAGACAAGATCTAATCTTAGAGCGCCGCTCGAGCTCAAATGTGTACTCCATATAGAGACAAATTTAATCTGTTGTTTTATTATCAAAGCCGAAAAAGAACCTCTTGAGATTCCACTTACTATTCGAAAATCTTATTGTCTTTGCTTCGTTTGACACCCGCAGCCTACATAAGCAAATCCGAGACCGCAGTCCAAGTGCCGATCATTTTTAGGGAAATTGAAGTGCGAAGCGGGAGGAGAGGTCACAAATTGCCGGCAGAATCTAATCAAGTTAATTTACACAGTCGCACCCCATTCCTTCTACACAGAAAAAATAATCAAGTAATCTTTTATGTCTTTCTCAAAAAAAAAAAAGCGGGAAGTAACTATGTAATTCAAAAAAAATCTTAAATTGTTGCATCAACTTAAGACATTCAAACTCTCAAATTATTTGACAAGCTTTGCAAATCGGAAATAGTTTTGTATTTTGAAGTATTTTTTTTTACGAACGACTGATTATTTTTTTAAAAATGTACCCAATTTTCTGTCAAAGTGCCTCGATCTGTGGATTTTCCAAGGCAAAGACAACGCGTTGACTTAAGTGCCCCGCTGGCGACTCAATTTGCTCCACACAACCACCGATTCAATTAGCTGAGTGGGTGGGTGGTGGTTTTTGGGTTTTGGGGCTGGCCAAGGGTTGCGGTGGGTGGCGAAGGGTGGTTGTTCTGTCCGAAAATCAGCTGCTCCGCCAGCTGGCCAGTCAGCTGTTGCTCCAGAAACAGGCGAAAGTTAGTCGCGATCGCAGCAGCCATGCGAAAAGTGATGAAAAGCGACGATCTCGCCGACCGCCGAGTGTGTGTGTCATAATATCATTAATAAAAATATAAAACAATAATCGTCGGTGGTGTTGGCTGCTGTGTGGCAACATCACAATTGCACTTCCATCTCGCCGAGATCAACTGAAACCAGAAATCTGAACCAGAACCCAGCAGTCACCTCTGATGCGTGCCTACGAGCGGTGCGATCGGTGAGGCTTTCCTGCTTTTCTTCCTTATTTTTCCTTTTTTTTTTTACGTGTGTGTGTGAGTGTCCGAGTGGCGGAAAAGTGTCGGGAAAATGAACGTGGAGGAGTTGAGAGCCAATCTGCAGAGCTTCGGCTGGCTGGACTATCTGGTCTTCTGCCTGATGTTGGCTATTTGCGCCGTGATTGGAATCCATTTCTGTTTGCAGCTGCGAAGGGAGTCCAAAAAACAAAAGTCTCATGGTTCCGAGGAGGCGGCTAATAGTGCTGCCTCATATTTGGTAGGTGGCAGGCAGATGAAGATCTTCCCCATCACTATGTCATTAATATCCAGGTAAGCAAAAGAATAGAAATCACATGCAAGCTACTTTCAGTTTTAATGATTCCCTGTAGCGCACTTTTAGGCAAAAAGGTTTCATTAAAAATGTCTTCCTTTTCTATCATCTACAGAAATATCTTGCAGATGTATTAAAACATGAACTTTAATTCTGTTGTATAATTCAGATGGATAAGCCACTTGGTTACCTTGTAAAGTACTTTTTACAAGCCGCATAGTAGATAGTATTAATTAATTCAAGTTCCTTGGAATAAAACTGATAGCTCATCTCTAAATCCATTTGAACCATTAAAACGCCGACATGTAGTGTAGGTCGCAATTTGCTCCAGATTCGACTCGTTTTAGTCGCCGTCGTATTTTTAGCATAGTTCGTACAGTTCGTACAGCTCCTATCAACGCACCAAATCAAAATGTTTCATAATTAATAATTGGCTTCCCAGCGAACGGCTGGCGATTCGAGCTACCCGCATATGCAGGGCATTCAAATTGGCGACGCTCAATTGGCGACTGCGACTGCGAGTCCACCAATCCCTCAATCCAATCCCGACTTGTAGAACACATCGCGGAATGCCACTTGGACACTAGGAAGCCACGACAATGGCGAAAACACGACGACATTGGTGCTAATTGAATTGTATAAAACGCACTTTGATCTCCCACAGATGATGGATGATCGGTGAAGGTCAAGGCGGTTCTACACGGCAAGAAAATTTGAATTTAGCTTAAAAATAGTGTTTATGTTTCTGGAAAGTGGATCTCAAGCCACTTATATTGTTCTTTTCTTTGTAAAACATTTGCTGTAAATCTGCTTTTCAGCTTTATATCTGGCATTACGCTTCTGGGAACTCCGACGGAGGTTTATCTCTATGGTGCTCAGTACATGTACATTATGGGATCTCTGGTTTTAATGGGCTTTTGCATGTACTACTTCTTTCTGCCGGTGTTCCACGAACTAAATTTGATTTCCACCTATAAGGTGAGGTTTCTATGGAGTCTGCTTTTTTGTCACACTTTTTTCAATATACAAATTATTTGCAGTACTTGGAACAGCGCTATAACAGAAGTTTGAGGCTTTTTGGTTCCGTAATGTTTATTGTGGCATCGGTGGGTACTTCTTATGGGTTTTATTGTAATATTTATTTATATTTTATTTTGTATCATCACACAGCTCCTTTGGCTTCCGATCGTGATTTATGTGCCAGCTATAGCTTTCAATCAGGCGACCGGAGTGAATATCCACATAGTGACGCCGATTGTGTGTGTGGTTTGCATATTTTACACCTGCATCGGAGGTCTGAAGGCGGTGGTTTGGACCGACGTGGTCCAAACTCTGATCATGTTTGGTGCCATGGCCCTGGTTTTGGTGAAGGGAACCCTGGACATCGGAGGACCCGGAGTCGTGTTGCAAAGGGCCAGGGAAACGGCGCGCTTGGAGAGTCCAAACTTCAGTGCGGATCTCACGGAGCGGTACACGTTCTACTCCCTGGTTTTGGGCGGTGTCGCCCACTGGCTCAAGTCGAATGCGATCAGCCAGAACATGATCCAGAGATACTTGTCGCTGCCGACGTTGCGAGATGCACGAATCGCCATTTGGACATTCATTGCCGGTGTGTTGGCCTTCCTGCTGATTTGTGGCTATACGGGTCTCTTGATTTACGCCACCTATGCACAGTGCGATCCTTTGGAAACCAAATTGGCCCAGCGAAACGATCAACTGCTGCCGCTTTTGGTGATGGAAACCTTGGGCGCCTATCCGGGATTACCGGGAGTTTTTGTTGCCGGCGTTTTCAGTGCCGCTCTGTCTTCGTTGTCGACCGGGTTGAACTCTCTTTCCGCAGTGGTTCTCGAAGATTTTGTAAAGACCTCCAGGAAGACGCCCCTGAGCGAAGGGCAAACAGCTTTCGTAATGCGAAGTGTGGTTGTGGTCTTTGGATTTATTTTCGTGGCACTCGTCTTTGCCGTGGAAAAACTCGGTGCCGTTTTGCAGCTGACCATCACATTGTCTTCGGTGGCGAATGGACCGCTGTTGGGCATTTTCACAGCCGGCGTTATGCTGCCCTGGGTTAACTCGAAGGGAGCTCTGCTCGGCGGGTTCACCTCGCTGGTGGTCATGGCGTGGATGTGCGTGAGTGCCCAGCGGGATCTGGTCACCGGGGATCTCGTCTACAAGCGGAAGCCCTACTCAACGATGGGCTGCAACTACACGTTCGCCGGTGAGCCAAGGGAGTTTGCCCACCTGGCTTTGGATGCTGGTTTTAGGTGAGCAAGAATACAATTTCCTTCATTTTGATTTTCCTACATCTCTATGTTTTTGATGCAGCTCCAGCCCGAGTGGTCCCTTCCAGCTGCACCGGATCTCGTACCTCTACTTTACGCTCTTTGGAGCCCTGGTAACCATCGTTGTGGCCTTGGTCACGAGTCTCCTGCTCAAGGAGTCGGACTTGGATGGCGTGGACACCCGCTTACTCACGCCGTTCGTGAGGCGTTGGCTGGAGCGACGTCGCCACCGAAGATCGGAGATTCCGGATCCTGGACAGAAGAGCAGGAACAGGCAGGAGACGAAAACGTGAAGGGGATTACACCGGCGGTCAAAGTTAAGAGACGGAGACGGAGACGGAGACGGAGAAGGCTGACCGGCATCATCCTGGCAATGTTCCTTTCGGTAGCTTAGCAAATATTTAAAATAAAACACAATTCATAATTATTTGGGCCCCTGTGTCCCGTACGAAATGGGTTCAAAGCAGTTTCCTGCTCTGTTGCTGCCTTCTCTGTAATTAGAAAAATGCCCGCAGTTATGGTCCAGGACTCGAAAAAGGGGCAAGTGCAGAAGGGCACATGACCCGACCCGACAAATCAAAGCGCCGGCTGCCCAAATAGAAATTGCAAAAAAAAAAAACTACGGGTAAGCAAAGTGGTATTAAAAAAGTCGAGCTTTTTGATACCCTTATTGATACATAGGCTTTTAAAATTGTCCAAATCTATTATCCTCGTTGACCAAAGAAATAACTGAACTATGAGCTTTAAAACATATGATATCAGCTAAACAACTCCACTTATATACGCTTAAAATTCACCTAAGCGATTAGGAAGAGTAAATACTATATATAATTTAAATATTTTATAAGACTTTCCCTGGGATTACCATGCCCCAAAATGAATTTATAAAAATAGGAAAAAAAGGATCGGAGCTGGAGAGCCCCCCGTTTGTGAGGGTGAGGGTTCCGTTTCACTTTCAAGTGCCAGGCACAAGTGATTGGGCTCTGGATCTGAACCCTCTCTGTCTGGCCAAGGTCAAGTGGTTTGGGGTGGAAAAGCGGAAAAGCTGGGGGGTTTTGGCCAACCCGAAAGGGTTCCGTTTTCGCATTAGTTTCTACCCTGTGCCGTTAATTGAATATTTACTGCTTTTCATGTGTGGTCAAGTCTGCATCCGAGTGCCCAACTATTTTTTGGAGTCACCAAACCCCCAACCACCATCACCACTATACGAGTATTTGTATGTTTAGGTCGTTTATGCAGCAAATTGAATTGTTAATGAGCTGACAAATGTTTGCGAAATTAGTTTTAGCCTTGCTCTGCGGAACTTCTTCGTTCTCTTGCCGGAAACTTTTATCGATGATGAAGACGACATATGCTTTCGTATGCAGGTACAAAGCTCGTTACCCACACCGCTCCCGTTGCAAATTTTTGGCTCTTAATTAGCCGACTGCAAAAATAATTTTGCACAAAAGAGATACAGCGGCGAAAATGTCATCAGAATGCATAATGACAGTTTCCGGACTCTGTGTGGGTTTTCAGTTGTTTTTGCCTTTTTCCCCGTGTTGTTTTTGAAAATCTGTACAGAAGTGGAGATGAAACAGGTGCGCCACCTCGCGGCATATTCAAAAACTATGCTGTGTACGTATGCATGGCCAGTGACAGGGGTTAAGGCTCGGGGGTTAAGGGTTAACAGGGTTAAGGGGGTTAAGGGGGTCCAGGGGTCAGGGGTTAGGGCAGGGGCACAGCGACAGTTGTCATATGGGTGGATTGTTTTTTGGCCACGGCAGGAAACGGAAGCTGGCAGCGCTAACGTGCCAAACTGCCAACTACAAAAGCCAACAAACTCCTCGCTCTGTTAACTTGTTTATGTCGCCGTGTTGCTTTTGTGTTACTTTTTATGCTCAAATAAAATTTGCTCACCCTCTTGCCCCACTCAATACCCTTACTTAGAGATCATAACGAATATACAATTCACATTTCACAGTTAACAAATTTAAAGGTACAAATTTACAGAAAATATTTCACGTTTGTTTTAGAATACATTTTTAACAGGTACATTATTGGAAAATGTATTGATGTAAAAAGTGTATTCCTGAGATTTACCTTTAATCCTTCCAAAAAATAAAGCCCTAACGTACGTAGTTCCTTTTCCTCATTTTCACAATTTTTAAAAGCCTGGTGGCCATATAAATGCCAGTGACAATTTGCAACGGACCAACCTTAAGCCCCAAAACCCCGCAGCCTACTCCCCCCTGCCCTTTTTTTGGAGAGCAGGCACAAAAGTCATTTTTGATTGTTTTCATGAAAATAAGCATAGAAAAATTATAATTAAAACTCATATGGAAATTGTCGAAAAAAGCAAAAGCAGCCACTACGAAGTGGAAGTCAAGAACAATGGCCCACTGATGTTGTTGTTGACCAAAAGATTCCATCTGAAAGAGACCCAAGAAATGCAGCGGTCGAAGAGGGGGTGGTGCGGGGTTGGGTGGTGCGGCGCTGAACTGCGGGCGTATTGTTTTCGGGGAACATGTGTTCCTCCAAACCCCCCTCCTCGGTTTTCCCTCAATCTTTTCCCTGCCAAAACAATGTCAGCTCACAGAATTAGAAGACCGCCGAAAGGGGTCAGAAGGGGGTTAAGGCGGTGGCTCAGAGGGCACCTGTGCACCACAAACATATAGAAATAAGTACACGGCAAATAGTCATAGTTAACTTTGCCAATAAGTGTTCAAAATTGTACAATCCTTTTTTAAACGATGAGCTAAAGTGTAGTGTAAATGTATTTACTTCTATCCCATTGCGTGCTACCTTATTATAATGATAGAAATTAGCTTTAACTTATTTCTCTCCGTGCACACAAAACACAATGGTCAGAGAGGCCAGAAGGAAAAACGCATGCCGGCTGCTTATTTTCTTGTTGTCGTTTCATTTTTGGCACTTTTATGCGATAAAATATTTAATTATATTCGGCAGCTTCGTTTGTGCATTGTGCGGTGGCCCTTCACAGCCTTTTTAGCCCATTTTACATCACCTTGGGGATTGGGCGTGGTTAAAATTGCATTTCCAGTGTCTGACTCAAAGTATGCAGTCCTTTCAAAGGCCTTTTGCCTTTGGAAAACGGCAAATGGTATTCAGTGATAAAAAAAGGTGAGGAGGATCGAGATGTGTGGAATTCGTAAAAACATAATTAAAACCACATGCATATTTAATATTTAGTTTTCAAGCATTTAAAACTAATCCTGAAATCACATGGATACTTTTGGCAAGTAATTCCAGAGTCTGGGAAGCACATTTTCGCAGTAATCGTCAAGAATATCATCACTTGTGGTTAATTATTCAATGGTTCCCTAGCCAGCAGCTACTGTGGTTGCAGCTGTGGTTGTTGTGGTCGTGGTGGTTGTGGTTGTCGTCGTCGTTGTGGTGGTGCTCAAGGGTCTCTTGATGATCGTTATCCGTATGCAGCCGGCGTGATCTGGATGCTCACCAACGGGAGCTGCACCTCCAAGGGTTAGGCATTCCAGGGAAACCAGTAATGCGAATATTATGTACGATGTGGACCGCCTCATCGTGATCCTCAAGTGCAGAACTCCCCCGAACAACTGATCGCGCTCCATGGGGCTTCCATTCGCTTTTATAGTTCACTCTTCTTGCAGCTTTCCAGCTTTTCAGCCCCATTCAATTGGCAGCAATGACGGCGGACAATTGGACATATGCTGTATCAACAAATGCGATCACAATTTGCAGCCTCACCTCGCGATATGTATTGTGCTATTTGTGTTGTCCAACTATCTGATGTTGGCTTAATTTCATTTATTAATTCTCGCCCAACTTTTGACGAGTTAATATCATTCGAAATCACTCCGGAAAGTGCGGCTAGATCAGTTTAGAAAGAGGGCTTTCATTCATGAAAATCGTGCAAAAGCTTTAAGAATTCAGATTGTGAATCATTTAATTTGTGTGAAACTCACAAAATGCATTTTGTGTTGAAAGTTTTTAATTTAGCACTTATATGTGTTTAATTGGACTAATTTCGCATGAAATGCTTTGGGTAAGCGCTTCTATAAACAAATATTGTATGTTATCTTGATGCAACCTCTTTATTTTCCTAATTCGTAGGTTTTATAAAATAAATGTAACCATGAACTTTTAAAAGAATCATATTTTGAATATAAGGTTTGGTAAAGTTGGTTAAAAGTTTTTGGAACTAAGTAAAGCGTGAATTTCTTCACTTTTTTTAAGGTTTTAAGGTTAAAACAAATTCAAAATTTGGCTGGAAATTTTATTTATTTAAAAAGAAACTACTGCTTCTACATCTTTATAAAGTTTACATTGGGATTAGTTTCAAGGTTCGTCAACTGCGCTAGGCCAGGTTTTGGACACAACTCCACCGATCCATTTATCCCGAAGAGCTGGCGGTGGTGCTGGGCGGTGGAGGAGCACCACGTGGTGGTGGTGCACCAGCAGTGTTGTTGTGATGATGACCAGCAGCTTCCAATCCGCGCACCAAGTTCACTCCAGCCGCGGAGAATTGCTATAAAATATTTGTTAATATTTTATACAAATCCGAAATGTATTGAAAATGGTTTCAGAGTTGCTCTATTTTATTTACCAGCAGGCAGCAGCTCAGGGCCAAAAAGAACAGCAGATAGAAACGCATCTTGATGTTGAATGTTTGACATTGGCCGCGAAAAGCTCGCTTTTATGGCTCTCGTTTGTTTACCCGATTCAAAACCAATTTTCATTCGAAGTACCTCTGTAATTGTTGACGTAATTGGTCTGTCACATTAAATACCTAATTGAGGTGATGATTTTGTAATAATATTATTTCACCACGACCACAATTATCATGTGCACTGGAGCCAACTCTTTTTCAATTCGAGAACTCTGCTTTGGTTGCAGTTTGTAATTGTATGTACATACATAGTATTACATTCAAGCCTCATTAATATTTTGTGACCTTTTTTCTTCGGCAATACACCCATTCCACTTTAGATTTATTCTTTCCGCTAACCACTCAACCGCACAGCAAACACGTCCCTGTAAGTAGCGGCAGTGGTGCCTGGCTAACGAAATGTATCTCGACGAATTGATGTCTCTTAAAGAGCAGATATACGAACCACCCTCTCCCACTAATAACTAATGCCATAAGCCACTCAAGATTGCAGCACTCGTGACTTGTCGTCAGCCATTTGATGAACTGCCACAGGATGTGGATATATATTTGGATTGGCATCGGCATTGAGACTTCAGATTCCACAATCCAGATAGGCATAAACGTGTCGGGAAAGTTTTATGACCAGTTCCTTATACCTTACGCAAAATCCCCCATCGAATCGTGTAGCTGAACTTTGACATATTTGCAACACGGAAAGAAAAGTTGTTAAGTTCCTTCGTAGGTATTACACTAAAGTTGCTTATTTTTGGTTGACTACTATTTTTATTAGGTTTTAAATTATGCATTATATTGATCAAATCTAAGATTGCTTTTCTTACTATTTTTTTTTCTGTGTACCGAAACCAAACCCAGTCATAAACTACCTAATGCCAGCAAAAACAGGGGAAAACATCATAAAAGTCCCCAAACCGAATTCTGTGGCCCACTTTTATTCGATTTTTACGATAAGCCACGCTGCATGTTGTTTTTTTTTTAGGATCCTTATTTTTGCCAATGATGATTCGAAAAGCAGTTTCAGCGCAAATTGCAGCTGTTATCGCTGATCAAATAGCATAAAGGACTTGGGGACCTCTATATAAATATATATATATAGATATTTATAAGGATATACAGAACAAATCTGGCGAGTGTCTCCGGTCAGAATGCAAATCAAACAAACAATAAATTGAATCAGGACATTGTTGAATGTAACAGATAGCCCCAAAAACAATGGGCAAGGCAAGCTGAACGCATGCATATCCTGGAGACATTAAGGATATCCTTGAGTAGATGCAATTTTCTAACCAATATAATTCATAAATTTATTTTCAATCCTTTCCGCACATAAATTTTCATATTATGCACACTCACTCACAGACAGTCGTCGTCCGCCCGTCCGTCCGCCTCGACCCTATTTTTCTCCCAGGCCTATTGTCCTGCGGCATGTCCTGTGTCCTGTGTGTCCTGTGTGCGTTTGGTTATTATTTGTCGTCGTGCTTGTCATTATTTATATGGGCAGGCGAGAGATAAGTTGCTGCAATTGTGGCACCCCTTAAAACTGCCCCTTAGCCCCTCGAATCTCGTCCCCCAGCCGAAAACAGGATGCAGTCCAGGTCCTGGCAATTACAAAAGCACAGATACAGAGATACACGGCTGCAAAATGTCCTTCGCAGTGTGTGTGTGTGTGTGTGCTCGAGTGTTCGAGTGTTTGTGCGAGTGAGTGAGTGTGTTTGCAGGTTGTTGGCCCAAAATTTTGATTTATAAATGCCAACACCGAGCAGGTTATATCCCCTCCCCCTCCCGAGGAATTCCCCCCAGGAAGCTGCAGTTACTTTCGGCTGACAAACGTCCCCAGGATCCGAGGAGAGTGCAGCAACTCAAGTGGCCATTAATATATCAGTTCAATTCATATTTGAAATTTTGCATTTCCTAACAGGACGGGAAATGGGAAACGAGAAACGAGGACGAGCCACAGATCCTTGCCCAGCTGGCACCTAGATATAGCCACTCCTTCGCCTTCTGCATTCGCCTCCTGCAACTCATGCAACTCCTGCAACTCCTACTACTACTTCGCCGGAATTCCCCCGCTCCCACCACGCATACGATTATGATTTGTGTCTTACTTAATGCACAGAGTCCTACGAATTTCATGCACTAAGCGAAATACTTAAAAAAACCAGATTCGCTAAAATAAATATAAATTTTAATGCTAGTCAGCTGTTTTGTAATACATGAAATAATATGATAAATAATCATAATAAGATCTAGATGTTTTAGATATTTATAAAACAAATGTATAGATTTGCTCAACTTCTTTATAGTTCTAAATATTTAAAAATTATCCTCGTTCACACTCGTTGAGTGTAAGATCCTATGTTCTGATTATATCCAGATATTATATAAAAATATCTTTGCCATTCTCCTCGAAATTTCTCGCAGTGCATTAAACGGTGCCCAACGGCACAGAACTGAACTGGTTAGCTGTTAGCTGAGTGGAGCCGGCGTCGTCTCAATCTGATTGATTTAGAATTCCAATTGAGACTGCATGAAATATGTTTGCTTCGTGTCTGGCTTCTGGCTGCTGTCGTTGTCGGGGGTCCTGCGAGTCCTTCCTTGGCCCCTTAACCTCCCCTTACCCCCGCTTACCCCCTTTCACTCACTCCTCTGGCAGAGCATTTATGCATGGGCATATCCTTTTGCGAAATTTGCATTTTCGAACAATTGCAAACGGCAGCAGCAGCAGCCGAAGGAGCAGCAGGAGCAGAAGGAGCAAGCGGCAGGATGAGAAGCAGGACAACGACAACGACGACGACTTATTGGTATTTCATTGATTTATGACACTTGTGAAACAATTTGGAAAATCACAGATTAGCAACCGAGAGAGCAGCACTAATTACACCCTACGGCTCATTGGGAAAGCACCTGCGACTGCGACTCAACTTTTCCGGGGTTTGGGAACTCCAGGGAAATTCCGAAATTCTTTGCACTTTGTCATGTAAATCGGTTCTAATTGCAGGTAAAGGACTAACTAACTAGAGGGCTGGGGTATATTTTAATTGCATAAAAACCCAAATAAATAAATTCCAGGACATTCCTGTTGTCACAATTTATTTTATTTTATTTGTTCTGTTGGTAGGGTGAGAAATAAGGTTCGAGTTGGCTTCTAATATGTAAATGTACACTTTCAAAGTACACACCCTACCAAAAGTTTTGTACCAATTCATTTTGGGTACCATTAATATGAGTTAAGAAATAATATTAAACCAAATTAATTAAAAGTGGTTAGTGATTTACTCAAAAGCCTCACAAGAAATATAGAAACGTTGAAGTGGAAATCAAGGTGTAGGGTATCTCCGAGTTTCCTGCTAACCGAAACGAAACGAATGAAACGAAGCGAGGCTCCTTCATCATCATGGCATCGCATCGTCTCCATCTTCCTGGACGCAAAGCTCGAGGACCCGAAGTTCCCTATCAGCAGAAGACCTGCAGACTCGAACAATTGAACTTTGGCCTCTCTCGCCCTGCCCTCTTAACCCCCCACTGCAGTGGGGCAGAGTCGCCTTAACCCGCCAGTGGCACATGTCCTTCTGCACTTTCTCTGCCATTTGGGGCCATCGTCTTTGCCAACTGCGATTGCGATTTATATGTCAGCCGAAAAGGGTGGGGCCCACGCCCCCCGATTCCCCCGATTGCAGCGAATGGACGTGCAGTGATTAGGCTACCAGGCTACAAACGATTTGTTGCATGTTGTTGCAATTGATTGTTGCAATTTCAATTTTGAATTATGAGGCCGCCTGCCTTGCCTTTTGCATCCTGCCACCCGTTTCCCGTTTCCGTTTATCCTCTCTCCTTCATCGTGTTGCTGTTGTGCATTTGGTGTTGGTGTTGGTGTTGCTGTTGCAATTGCTGCTGCTCTGGCTGTGTGCAATGTGTTGCAAGTTCCATTGGCAGCGTCATTCAAGTGTTTAGTGATTTATTGAATGCCGTTAGAGTTGTCGTTGTTTCTCCACTGCTCTGCAATTGCAATTGCAATTGCATTGTTGGCATTGCCTTTGGCCGGCCATATCCTCTCTGTCTGCCCCAAAACCCAAAACTCTGAGATTAGCACAATGGCTTTGAGCACTTTTGACAGCTAAGATTTGTTTATGCCCAAACCAAACCCACTTCCTCCCCTCCTCCGACTCCCTTAACCCATTAGGTTGCACATCTGAGAGATGTGTCCTTATCTTGCCGGAAGTCTGGGGCACTCGTGATTCATGTCTTTGCATATTGGTAACAAATTTGTGGTAATTGATTTGAAATTGATTAATTAAGTCTCCTCCTTCTGTGGAACGCATTGCGAACGAAGCCTGTTCAATTGTTGTGCACCGATAATCGGATTGTTGGCTTTAAGGCGACTCTTGCATTTTAGGAGGAAAGCAATAGTTTCTTTAAAAAAATGTGGAAGGCAGAGTTCTCATAAGTTTAAAGGTAAAGGTTAAAAAATAAACAACGTGTGAACTTTAATTATTTATAAATAAAATATTTTCCTTTCTTGAAAACCCCTCTAATAAGTTAACTGATTTATTGATTTATTAAATTAATACTGTTAATTGCTCTATAGATTCAATAAACAGCTGGGCAAATCGAATTGAAGCCTGCTAACTTTCGCACAGCCTGTGCCAATGTCCTTGTCGAGGACCAAATGTTTTGGCTGCTGGCTCCTCGCTCCTGGCTTCCTTTTTGGCAGGCGCCAACCGCATTTTGCAGCCACAAATGGCGGCATCGTCAGCCTGCCACACTCTGCCTGCACCCATTACCCTTAACCCTTCACCCTTCACCCGTCAACCATCAACCATCAGCCAATACCCTTTAAGCCCCACCAAAGTTTGGCTTGTTTGAACGTTATCGACACGATTTTGACATATTGAATAGCAGTGAAATGTGGCCTCCTGCGGCAGCCAGACAACATGACATACGTCTGGCTGGATTCTGGGTGCTGCTGGGTGGGAATGGGAGCCCCCTTCATGG